AGATGCCGGTGTTAACACGGGCCCGGTGACGGCAGTGTGCAAGGCGAGATAGGAATTCTTCAGAGAAAGGCGCCGTCGAGCGTGCATGGGCCGAAAGGAAATAGACATCCAGAGCGAAACTCGGCGAGCGACCATGGACGAGAAAAAATGGAGAAAAGCCGGTAGTGCGTTGAGCAGCCGTAATATAGGCGAATGTCACGAAGGGTAGAAATGCATCCCAGTTCGTGTGGTTGGGGTGAATGTACATGGCGATCATGTCCAATAGGGTCCGATGAAACCGTTCAGTCAATCCGTTGGTCTGCGGGTGGTAGCTAGAAGTGGTCTTGTGAACAGTGTTCGAGGCACGCAAAACTTGCTCGACAATAGAAGAGAGAAGGACTTTGCCACGATCACTGAGGAGAATGCGTGGAGCTCCATGACGCAAAAAGATGTGGCGAAGAAAGAAATTGGCGATCTCAGTGGCTGTCCTAGATGGTATAGAAGCTGTTTCTGCATAGCGATTAAGGTGGTCGACGGCCGTGACAATCCATCGATTCTCATTGGATGATATAGGAAGAGGGCCATACAAGTCGATTCCAACGACTTCAAAAGGCGAGGCGGGAAAAGGAAGAGGTTGCATTAAGCCAGCCGGAGCAGTTGTCGGTCGTTTTCGCCGTTGGCAATGGACACAGGAGGCGACGTACTTAGCGACGGCTGAAGAGAGGCCAGGCCAAAAACAACGACTTCGTATTTTGTCGTAAGTCTTGTGATAGCCTAGATGAGCGGCGGTTGGATCATCATGAAACGCTTCCAGAACTTCACGTTGCAGAGAACGTGGGATGACGGGTACCCACTTGTTTCCATCGATGTGGTAAACGTAGCGACGTAAAGCATCACCGACAAGCTTAAATTGTTTAAGTTGTCGACGGAGTCTGGCGTTTGGAGGAGTAGTAGAGTCGGTCAAGCGGTCAACAATGGTGCGGCAGTATGGGTCGACACGTTGTTGTGAAACAAGGACGTAGGGTGGCAGGTGATGAACTTAGCGATGCGATTGGAGAGGTGCTGTCGTTTTGGAGTATCGATGGTGAGTGGCTTCCGCTGGGCAAAGGACATCGAGATAGAGCATCAGCATCTTGATGCTTCTTCCCAGATCTGTAGGCGACATCGAAATCATACTCCTGCAAGCGAAGCGCCCAGTGACCGAGGCGACCCGATAAGTTTTTCAGCGATGAAAGCCAGCATAGGGCGTTATGGTCGGTCACGACGGTAAAATGACGGCCGTGAAGATATGGTCGGAATCTTTGCACTGCCCAAACAACAGCAAGGCACTCTTGCTCGGTGATAATGTAGTTCTTTTCTGGAGCGGTAAGACCACGACTTGCGTAAGCGACGACGCGTTCGCGTGAGTTTTTGTCACGCTGCAAGAGTACCGCACCAAGACCATGACTACTTGCGTCGGTGTGAAGGATGGTGGGTGCGGTGGAATCGAAGTGGCACAGTACCGGATCCGACGTGAGGGCTTGCTTCAATGCCGTGAAAGCGCTTTCGCAGTCTTCGGACCAAATGAAGGGGACGTTCTTTGCGAGGAGTTGATGGAGCGGAGACGCAAGCTCCGCAAAACCACGTATGAAGCGCCGGAAGTAAGAAGATAACCCAAGAAAGCTGCTCAGGTCCTTTTGACGTAGTGGACAAGGAAAATTGAGGACAGCGGCAAGCTTCTCGGGGTCGGGCCCAATTCCTTCTTTGCTGACAAGGTGGCCGAGAACCTTGATTGTCTTGCAAGCAAAGGTACATTTCTTGGTGTTAAGCTGTAGACCGGCTTTTGCAAGGCATGTGAGGACTTCGTCAAGACGTTGTAGATGCTGCGAGAACGTGGATGAAAACACTACTATGACATCGAGATAGCACAGACATGTTTTCCATTTCAAACCATGCAATACGCCGTCTATCATGCGTTCGAAGGTGGCGGCCGCATTACAGAGTCCAAAAGGCATCACATTGAACGAGTACAACCCATCTGGCGTTGAAAAGGCGGTCTTCTCTTTATCACTCCGACATTGGTATCTGCCGGCAGCCTGACCTAAGGTCAAAGCTAGAAAAATACTCTGCGCCCTGTAATGAATCCAGTGCATCGTCGATCCGAGGGAGGGGATAAACATCCTTGCACTTTATTTTGTTTAGCGCACGGTAATCGACGCAGAAACGCACTGTCCCATCTTTCTTTTGAAGGAGAACCACTGGGGATGACCAGGGACTCGAGGAAGGACGTATGATGTTGCGTCGTAGCATGTCGGAGACGTTTCCCTCGATGATGTTGCGTTCTGCCTGATACACGCGATATGGACGCCGATGTACAATACGAGAGCCGTCAGTCTGGATGCTGTGAGTAGCGGTGGTAGTCATGCTGAGGGCGGGCGAGTTCACGTCAAATAGAGAACGGTGTCTATTTAACAGGGCGAGCAAATCTTCAGTTTGATCAGGTGTTAAGTCATTGCTTATTGTTGCGGACACAGGTGTGGCAGAGGCATTGAATGGCAGTGATTGTGACTTCGGAACATCGTTGTGGTTTTTTGTTCAGAAGAGTAACAATCGCAACAGGCTCACTGTCGACCGCGCAAGATACTGTTGAGCCACAGGGGAGCAGTACACACTCGGGCGTTTGATTTATGGCGGTTAGGTACGTAGACCCATCGAAGAAGCGAATAAGTCCTGGTGTGATCACAATGCCCCCTACGTAGGGTATGACCGTAAGGGAGAATTAGTACGTCGCCATCCACAATGTCGGTGCAATTAACACTTATAATTTCTTCGATGTATGGCCGAAGCACATAATCTGACTTGGTGACAGGGTGGATGAGTCTATCGTGTTCAAGCGGAGAAGAGTCAGTGGCATTTAGATGCAGGAGGCGCTGATGACATGATATGAAAGCGGTCGCAGAAGACAAGAAATCCCACCCAAGAATGAGAGCGTGGGTGCACTCACGAAATACCGCGAAAACAATGTGATGACGAATGCCTTCTATGCAGACACGAACGGTACACTGTGCAAGTGGACGAATGAGAGCATTGGTCGCCGTACGTAGAGGTGGGCCGCCATAAGGTGTGGTGACTTTTCGAAGGCGGGAACAAAAATCAGCACGAATAATCGAAGCGGCAGCGGCAGTGTCTACAAGAGCCTCAACACGTACACCTTCTACAAACACTACTATAAAATTCGATGGCCGCTCTGGAGGAATTGTTAGCTGTCCAAGGGATGCAGTTTCCCCTCCTAAAAGTGCATTGGGGAGTTTTCCGCGTGGGCGTTCGTGGAATGGGAGGTGGGCCGTAGAGGCGACACTGAACGGCGACCTGGCGAAGGCGACCTGCGGCGAGACGTACGGGAATTCCCAGGCATGTCCGTATGGTAAGTAGGTGACGGTGAACGGTAATAGGACGATCGGGAGGGTAGTCGTAGGTAGTTCATGGTCGGACGGAAGCTTCGATGTTCTTCGGGAGCGTAGCCGCGTTGCTCGTCTTGTTGGCGCCTTCGACAAAACCGAGCGATATGTCCTCGATAGCCGCAGAAGTAACAGATTGGTCGAGGTGGGCGCTGAGGTGCGTAGTAAGGTGGTGCACGAACTGGCGGTGATAACGAAGCCACAGGCGTATGGTCTGCTGTTTTAGGCAAAGAAACGGTGGGTGCGGCAGAGAGCGCGGCAACTTCGGCATACATGCGCGTTTGGCGCATGCAGGGACTGTTGGAACACGTCGCACGCGATGCGGAGGCGACCTCTTGTTTAATCAGGTGTCGCAAGCTATCTTTTTCAGAAGGGAAAGTAACTTGCGCAGCACAGGAAGAGCAGCGCCCATGCAGCTCTTCACGAACGATGTCGCGAATAAGCGCACGCAAGTCGAGGGGTGCAGGCAAACGAACGTCGGTGGCATCGTAGCAAAGGCGAAGAGACTGAAGCTCGTCAAGTCGCTGACAGATGGTTATCACGTCCTGGGTGGTGGCAGGATTTTGCGTGGCGAGGGCGTTAAAGGCGACGGTGTTAATGCCTTTAGTAATGTGGCGCATTTGGTCGTTCTGAGACATGCCGGTGTTAACGCGCTTGCACGGTGCAAGGACATCCTCAATATAAGAGGTGTAAGATTCACCCGGCAGCTGCGTGCATTCAGCGAGTTTCTTCTTTGCTACCTCAGTGCGAATTGCAGGGGCACCAAATATCTGACGAATTTGCTGCTCGAAAGTGTCCCAGTCGGGAAGATCCGGGTGGTGGTTCCAGAACAAAGTTTTCGCAACATCGAACAAGTAAAATGGGACGCAGCGCAACTTGTGTGAATTGTCCCACCTGTTCAAATCGCTGACGAGGTCGTAGTTTTTGATCCAGTCTTCGACATCATCGCCTCGGAGACCGGAAAACACAGGTGGATCGCGCAGGCGAATGTTGTTGGGCGGAGCGGGTGGCGGTGGCTGCAGTAGGACGGCGACGTTGGATGGGCCAGGGTTTTCTTGGGCCGCCATGGCAGGGGGCTGTATGCGACGATCCGATCGAAGCTCCAGTGAGAACGGGCGAGAGGACTTGAGGGAACGAAAAGCACAGTCCACCACTTGTGAGGAACCGGTTTATTCCGCCAGGCTCGAGCTAAATCACGCTGGTGATATTTTCAGATGAAGAAGATGTACAGGTGATGATGATATCAAAGAGAATAAAGAGTAATTCGCTTGTCGCGCTCACAATACGACTATGTTCAAATACAAACTCGCCTAAAGTTCGGTGCTTCTAAAACGATTCATTCTTTAATTTAAAAGGAAATGAAAATGCGACAATAAACAGGGCCACAAGCGCGCATGAAGCCCGCAAGCACCAAAGCTAGGAAAAAGTGTACTACCCATCATTCTCATGATCGCTGAAAGATTGCAGCGCCCGAGTCTCCTCTAGTTCATTTTAGGAAACTATATCGAATGGAATAGAATAGGACAGATGGATGTATGGATGGACGGACGGGCGGATGGATGGACAGACTAGACCACTATACCACTAGACCACCACGGTGGGCGGCAGACAGACGGTGTTAAATACAGCAAGGACGGGCAGGTGCGGCTTTAGGGTGACTGAACCATCATCGTCATCATCATCATCATCATCATCATCCTGAGTACGTTCACTGCATGACAAAGGCATCTCTCATGTTCCGCCAGTCAACTCGGTCCTGTGCCTGCTGCTGCCACTTTGTACCTGCAAACTTCTATAATCTCATCTGCCCCCCTAACTTTCTGTCACCCCCTAACCCGCTTGCATTCTCTGAGAATCCATTCCGTTACCCTTCATGACCAGTGGTCATCTGTCTACGCGCTACATGTCCGGCCCATGCCCATTTCCTCTTCTTGATTTCATAGCTATGATATACTTAACCTCGGTTTGCTACCTGATCCACTCTGCTCTCTTCTTGTCTCTTAAGGTTACACCTATCATTTTCCTTTCCATCGCTCGCTGCGTCAGTCCTCAATTTAGGCTGAACTCTCTTTGTAGGTCTCCAGGTTTCTGCTCCGTAGCTAAGTACCAGCAAGGTGCAGCTGTTATATACCTTCCTCTTGAGGGATAGTGGCAATCTACCAGTCATGATTTGTGACTGCTTGCCGAATGCGCTCCACCCCATTCTTGTTCGGCTCAGTGGTTATTATGCTGTCTTAAGTGGATGCAGTCTTTTACAACTTCAAGTGCAAAATTATCTATCTCTAAGCGCTGTACTCTTTCAAGTTTGTTCTACATTCATTTCGTTTTCTGCAGATTAATCTTAAGACCTACCTTTCTGCTCTCCTTGTCGTATTCATTAATCATGAGCCGCGATTCGCCCTCCGAGTTACTAAGCAATGCTATGTCATCACGACATTCCATTTAACTGAACGTTTCCGAGAATAGCATTTCACAACAAGCCCGACTGACTTTGTTTACTGAACCTGTCACAACGTGTCATCAACTGCGAGGCAACAATCCTAATCAACACCCCCTCCCCGAAAAAGGGACGGCGGTTCAGTTCATAGAGTTTGCACCAACTATAGGGGACTCAGCCGCTGTGATCGTTCAGCGATCATGGGAACTATGGGTAGTACACGAATTTGACTTCGCTTTGTATTTGCGGAAGGCGAATTGCACTTATGGCTTTGTTTATGGCTGTGTTTCGGGTTTGTTTCGAAGGAAAGAAAGAACCCTTGTGAAATTCGGGACTCGATTTGAAATGTTAAGCATAAAATAATAAGGTGGTGAAGCGTAACCGCTGAATATTTGCTGATTTTTCTTTTGCGAGAAAACAGCTCCCAAGCCACACGAACATACATGGTGCCAGAAGTACAAATAATACAAAATCTGTGTACTACCCATGATTCCTATGCTCGCTGAAGCGGCGCGCGTCGCAGCTCCCGTAGACACTAGCGCCAGAGTTCTCCCTGGTGTATATTTAGGAAACGCGATGGGGCGAGCGGCAAGGGTTTGGAGTTCTCCTCCTGCAGCATCGTGGTTTCGCGCCGTTTCAAAGTACACCAATCTTCTCAACTTTTAATCAAAAATTTGAAAAATATTTTGTGGCATCATGCTCTTCATCAGACACACGACCACTGTCAAGGTTGAACTAAAAGTTTTTATGGGACCTCTTGAGGTGCCCTTCAACTATTTCTGATTCTTGTTAAACTAGGTCTACTTTGCGTGATATGTTCTTTAGTGCGTTGACTGTTATCATTTTTGGGTTTCCTAAATATATTGAGTGTTCGGAATTTATTGTGCGCAAATGGTTTTGTCTCCCTTTTCTTGATGAAGCTTTTGTCATCGACTTTCCGTTTACACGGGCCTACACAATAGCTTATTGATTAAATAGCCTCGTGACACACTTGAACATTCATATCTCCACCCCTTATTCATCATCGTCTACATTAGAAGAACGTTTCAGTGTCCATCTATGAAATGGAACAACCACAACCATTTTTTATTTTTCTAAAGTGTTATATTACACATGCTAACGAGATTCCTTCCCTGACGCGAAGTTTGAATATGTTCTGTTTACAAGAAATTTCAGAGTTACGGCATCACGCTACGGTGAAATACTGGGCTTCCAAGCAGAGGTCCCTGGTTAAAATACAATTGTTTACGCTTTTTCGTTTAATATTTTCTTTATTTATTTCGCACGATAGCACTTACGGACACCGGTGGCGGCGGTGATTTCGGCGCTCAATGCACGTTTTTGTGATATCGTTAACGAATTTCGCTGTGAAACTGCCACGACAGCACGAGACAGTGTCGTATATCTCACGACGTACGTGCATCACGTGTTGCATGGCATTTGTGTCATGACCAGTCACTTACGTTCCTCGTGCTCTGATGTCATGCCATGTTGATTACAGTATACATCAAGGTAATGAAACAGACGCGTGAGCCAGCATGTCATGTATGTAATGACGCGTGCGTTCTTGCTACGATAATGGTATGCCACGTGATATCGGATATACCAAATTTATAAAACTTTCGTACTATCGCCTAATAGAATACTTAAATATCCAGATAACTATGGCAGTTTCAGCTACTTCAGACTCAATTTTTGACCTGAAATAAAGGCCGCCAACCAGATTTCGAGGCTTCACATGCCGCCACATTGGCGAGGACGTCCAAGCGACATTTCTGTTTTCGTACAACTCTCTTGGTGCCAATACCTTCGACCACCGGTAAATACAGAAACATCTACAACCGCGCACAACTCTTCCTGGCACAGCGTCTGACGGATTATCTGTGAAACAGATGAGCATTTCTCCCTCAATGTTTTTATGCGATCAGCGACCCCTCCTGAAAACGCGCGGCGTGGTCCACAGCTTCCAAAACACCACAATTCGCGCAAGTACTCAAAAGCTATCAACAATCTCACCTGATCTGTAGGCATGCCTCTGTCCGCGGGGCCCAATTGGGCACCTCCCGAAGTGAACTGCAGTGCGGCACCGGTAAATGTTGAGCGCCGAGCGGTGGCCTGCCTCACCGGCGCCTTTGCGGTACTCGCTGATTCCTTCGAGGTGGACGGAGTAGTGCCACTCAACGCGCACATGGCTACCGCACTGTGGTTCTGGGGATCTGCATGGAGAGCTCACCATTATATTGTTGTGCGCAAATCAAGCAGCCTGCGAATAACTACTTATTATGGGGCTAGCTAGCGTGTGAATCAACCGAAGGGTCTTTGCAGCATTCCTCGCAGGAGACGAAGCAGACAAAAAGAACCAATTTCCGGGAGGTCTCGAGCAGCGTGTCACTTCGTTGCCTTATGCACTGCATGAGCAGGCACGCGCCGGCACGGCCTGTTTTTGTATTGCCATCGGCTGTTGTTCACCTGAAGGGTGCACGAAAGTGCCCGCGTAGCTTGAACAGGGTGCCTGTCTTGCGTCAATATTGCAATATGTAACCAATTGAGGCCAATTTTTCGCCCTTCAAAAAGCGCATTTTAATCGCCACAGAGAGGCAGGCAAGGCAACGTTTAAGGGGCCGAAAATAGGCAGGCCTACACGTATTAGGATTCCCATGCCGTAAATGTAAGAAGAATATATTGTAAAAAAATGCAAACACTTTCAATAGAAAGCCGTGCGTGACTTGACAGGAATGTAAAAAATGCCTTTGCTAAAGATGACAAAAGGGCTGCAACAGTTATACATGGCCATGCAGAAAGGTATAATAATAATGCTTCGTGGTCCGACAACGCTGGGCGCGTTTTTTATTACTATTTTGAGTGACGTTGCGGAAACGTCTGCTAGACTGATCGTAAGTAGAGCACACAAAGACGCTTATCCGTAGTCCTTGGCTGAGCATTCTGAACAAGAAAATACGGCCGTTCCTTCCGTCATCCGGCGCCGAATGACTATAGTGTACCTCACTGTGCTGCCACTAGAGGCCTGACCACATGTGTGCGCTGCAGCGCGTCAGCGCGGTTTTTTCTGACGCGGTGCCGTGTCCCTCTCCATATGGAGAGATTAGTGGTGCAGCTTCCAGTAGCCGCGCGCCCTCTATCTCTATCGGGAGAGGGCACGGCGCCACGTCAGAAAACATCGCGCTGACGCGCTGCGACGGGAACGTACGGTGAGACCTTTATGGGCGAAAACGCTATATGGGAACTCCGTGCGCTTAGAAACTCGCGCAGGCGGGCACGATGAGCACGGCTTTGCAAAGCCGAACTCCTGTTATGTATTGTGGAGTGCATCTCCGATCTGAGGGAGACGTTCAAGAACAACATTCGTAGCAGAGTAGGTTTGTATAGATAACCTGCTACTGCAGTCCCTCTTGATAATGTTCCCACTGTGATATCATAAATGATATATTAACAGTGTGACTACTAGTCATATGTATGTATTGATCACCTAGGCTATCATTACTAGTACTTTGCAAAATATTCATTTTCCGCTTTTTAAACGCATTTACTTTTCATTGTGTACCTGTGTTCGATACCCGTCAGCTGATTAGGAAACTGATATTTCAAATGTGGTTGCAGTGATTTGCGAGAAGGCTAAGTAGCACAATGCTCGTTTAAAAGTATTTCAAGGCATAGTTTGTATACCTATAAAACTAAAATAAAACCAATTCAAAAGTAATGCGACTCTCGTATGGCAAGATTTGCGTCCGCCGTTCTTGATTTTCTGGATTTACGCCATTGCGAGACACAAAAACCACGAGGCTTGTCGTATCTTCTCCTGTATCCTCGTACTTTGTTTAGCTCTAACAACATTAGGCTCCCGTTTTGTTCTAATAAACACTTATTTGAGCGTCGGTTACGCGCAAATCCACACAGGTGCGAGCCACACAACTGCACAGATTAGCGATTTTGACAACTTCTTCTCGTGAACTTAGCTTGTATGAGCGCTGTACATATAAGAAGGAAACACAACACAGGCGTAAAGAAAGGTAAGCGCTAGCATTTTTTACGTCTGTTCTGTCGTTACTTGTTATATGTACAGCGCTAATACAAGCTAAGCCCATAGATGGCCAACTCGCCCGAGCTGCAACACTCCTGAAACTTCTTGTCGAGACGTGGTAAGCTTGCTTGCAAGCCCACGGTGCCAACTTGTTCATCAACATTCTCCAAATCTAGACCTTGTTCAAATAACTGCTTTCGACCCACCATTAGGCTTCACTCAACTGACTTCAATGGCGGTTTGACAAGCGGGTTTCTAGATTCCCCAGTTCGCACGACCACCTGCGGCGCTCGACTACTGCATCCTTCTACGCTTACGCGTATAAACGCTGTATCATACGCAAGTCTGATTGGAGAGGGTCGCAGACTCTCGGGACAAGTATCGAATGAAAGCTTTACTACGTGCAGCTTATGAACGCACCTCGAACCAGGCCCTCGTCGAGTGGTCTTCCATCTGTGCCCCCGGTTCGCCTTCTGTCATCGGGCATAACTCGGGCGTTTGTGCCTCCATTCAGGTCCGATGTAGGCAGGGACGGTGCCTCCTTCGCCCTCCTCGAAATTAGTGATGCCTCACTCGGAGTTCCCCCCCGGGTGGCCGGGCCGGCAGCTGCGCTCCGTCTCGGCTCACCAGGCTGCTTAGGAACGCGGGTAGACCCACCGGTCGCGCTGACAGTGACCACTGGCATCGTCGCGGTTTCCCGATCGCCAGGCGAGTGCGGAAGGACAACTCCCGGGGAGCGCTGCTGCCTCTGAACGGCACCAGGACGCCGAGACACCGAGGACAGGTCATTGGCTTCACTTGGCGTAACCAGGACGGATACCATGCCAGAGTGCCTTTGGTGAAGTGGCGGTGGTTGGGACACCTCTTGCGCTGCTGGGAGGGTGTCACTCGACCGCGAAGACTTGCTTGAGTTCTGGTCCATCGAAGGACCAGCGCCACCTACCTTGTCACTGGTGGCATCTGGCGCAGGTTTGTTCCTAGAAGCCACCTGCGCAGTGCTGGGAAGGCCTAGCCGAGATGGCTTCTTGGACATAGATGCAGCTAAGAGATATCGGGTGAACCGACCACCACCGATGGCTTCTTCTTCTTAATGAACGTACAAAGCGCGTGACCAAATGCGCTGCGCGTGATTTTCTTGATCTGCCGTATCCATCACACGTACCCACTACTAGAGTTTGGCTAGAAATGAAAGTGCTGCATGAAAGGGAATTTAAAGCAGTAACTGCTATATGAAAGTTTTGGAATCGGCATCGTCCCCATTGACATGATTGCCGTCACTTTTCGGTTTCATTTATCAATTGTTCTTTCTAAGCCTTTTTTTTCTGTACCTTAACAAAATCATGGTATCGCTATAGCACGAAAGTAAGACATTTCATCACAGCAGTAGTTTATTGTTTAATGGAGACCAAGAAAAATTGTACATTGTCCTTTTTGTAAGGCAGCTATAGCACTATAGTTGTATTTGTCAGCATATTCGCGTAATTCTCTTCAAAGCTAGTTAATTACGTTGATCATGCGCTCGTGAAAAGCGTGCCTAGTCTTCTCAAAGCTGCCCAGTCATTACAACGGATTCAGCTATAAGTCATCGTTTTCATGATCAGTCGCATCGTGTGCCCAGCTACCTAACACCTCGTGTTACCTTAGAACCGCGTAGTACTTACGAGGCAGCTTTGCTTGCAGTAGGCACCTTAACAGTGTCTACAGCATTCAATGCCACACACATTCACGTTCTTTTGCTCATGCTGTCCACCGAGTTATAACCATGGCAAGGTATTGACAAGGCAAAAATAATATTGAAAAGGAGGGAAAAATAAACTCGCGTGATTGGCGGAGAAACACCCACAAGTGCGAGAGAGCAAATCGGCTTTGAGAGAGGATACCAGTGGAGAGTAGCGAAGGAAAGAACGAAGGCAGCAATCGCCGCGGTTTGATAACCAAACGCTTTTAACTCCGCTTTTGTTACTTCACCGTTTCGAAAAATTCTTACGGCTCTGTGTTCGTTGTACACTCGCACACAAATTTCCCCTTCACAACTGCATTTCGACCACTGGTGGTTTAGGGGCCCTGTAAATGTGAAGCTTACAAGCTTAAGTTTCCTCTAAATTATTCGCATAGTCAACTTTAACTTTTTTATGTTGTTCGAGGTATAGCTCATCCAGGACGGGACAGAGAAGAAAACACAGAACACATACGCGGCGCTAACTTTCAACAATGTGGTTTAATCCGAGAAACAGCAATACTTATACCCAAACATGGCGCGTCACAACCACGTGCTAGAGAACCTGAAACTGATAACTGCAACTCATGCGACATCCAAATATTGCAATTCTTTCAATGATAATGATATCGATGGCTTGCTGTTTGGGTATAAGTATTGCTGTTTCTTGGATTAAACCGCATTGTTGAAAGTTAGCGCCGCGTATGTGTTCTGTGTTTTCTTCTATGTCCCGTCCTGGATGCGCTATACCTCGAACAACATGAATAACCAACAAGCCCGCCGTGCAACCTTAGTCGTTTAACTTTTTCATCCTATGAAACCTATTTCACAGGATGAAATGTTGACTATTTCATCCTATGTTGAAATAGACAACAGCTAACGTAACATTGTCAGCATCCTAGCACATGCAGTACGCACTAGTAACATCAAATACAGGAGAACACGACACCATACCAATACAGAACCTAATGAACAGGGCCCTTCACGGTATCATCCCGAGGGTTAACAAACCAAGCGCTGCGATGACAGTTTGTGACGTAAGAGCAAGAACCCCCGAGCAGCCGCTAATGGCATTTGCGATATATGCCAAGTATGTAAATGCAAACTAATGTCATTTTCTTGGCGTGCATGCCCATTATTTCACAATTACACCCTTAAAGGCTCTTCATTACAATCCACAAAAGAGTACAAGTACTTAGGCGTCCATATCACCAACAATCTATCTTGGACAGTACACGTGTACAAAGTAATCGCCAGCGCTAGTAGATTCCTCGGGTATCTGCAGCGCACGATGAAATTTGCTCCTTCAGACTTAAAATTGTTGGCCTATAAAACACTTATCCGTCCAAAACTAGAATATGCAGCCGCTATATGGGACCCGCACCAACGTTACCTCATCGACAACATAGAAGCCGTCCAAAACCGGGCTGTTAGATTTGCTTTCTCTGATTTTTCTTCATACACTAGCGTCACAAATCTCAAGTCGCGTGCGTCCCTCCCTCCCCTCAACAACCGTCGGAAACTAGCAAGGCTGGCATTATTCCATAGGTTTCATTACTCATTATCACCAAACTCCTACGTCACGTCAAAATCGCATGTATACACTCGCACCAAAAACGAACATCAAGTTTCATACCCCCACCCACGAACTAACACTTTCGCGCAATCCTTTTTTGTTCGGTCAGCCAAAGACTGGAACAATCTTCCCGCTCACGTGGTACAGACCAAAGACCTTGACCAGTTTAAATCGCTGCTTACCGCGCCCGGAATCGTGTAATATCCTCATGTCGTTTTTATGGTTCCCGTTTTTCTGACTTTCATTGTAGTCAGTGCAGGCGAAGTAATAGAGCGTTGCCTTCTGACATCATATTGTTTTCTGTTTTTACCATATTTATAGCTACCTAGCTCATTGCCGTTGTTTGCATTCTGACTTGTATGTTTGCACCATTGTACTGCTGTAAAGCGCGGTTATCCAAGCTGTTTAAACTCTGATTGGTCCCAATGTAAAACATGTAGCGTGTCCGGCCATGTAGTTTCTTTTATGCTTCTTCGCTCATTCATTGTTGTAACGGTCTTGTATATAGTTATGTTGGTAGCACACCTCCCCCTCACCCCTACCCTCGTTTTTTGTTCTAGTCTGTCACTTGTACCACCCCTCATGTAATGCCTCCTTCTAGGAGGCCCTTGAGGTATGAAAATAAATAAATAAATAAATGTAGGCTTTTCCAAGACGACACGGTTTTGTATGGACTGTGTTCCCTTAGTCGGCGTTATAACGGTGGTACAACGCGCAATGCCAATGCCAAATGCATGACGGAGACTCTTTGACGTTGGGAGTAGTCGACTTGAACGCGCTCGACTCAAACACATGAGCACTCATACACATGAGCACTTACGTCGCATGAGCATGAGCACTCGTACTATCTTCGCTCGCGTTCGCTTGTCAAGAGTTACCTTTTTTTTTCTTTCGGAATGATATCTGTTCATTGCCCCCATTGCAGAAATACTCGGCATGCGCAAGCGGCGTTCCACGCTAAACGCTTATTGGCTGTATACGCTGTTGTGTTTTAGCGCGTTATAAATCAGCGCACCCTCCCAACCTTAATGTTTTCAGGCACGCACACAACCAGTTGTACATCTATTACCCATATAATGCAACGCATCGACTAGCCGCTGTATCGACGTTTTATTTTCAGCACTCAAGGATGAACGTATTACGGCTGCTGCTAGTCCTTGCTATGGTACGTTATAAAATATCCAGCCATATTGCGAATGCGAAAGAACCGTCGGTTAATAATCATCTGAAACATTTCAGAAGCGCTGCGCGCGTATTAAGCACGAGGACAGCTTTGACATAGCAGTTAGTCCCAACCGTAGTTCTTGCTATTAAAGACGCATTTGCTACAATTATTATGGTATCTGTATCGGCATAAAAACAGACAATACAAGGCAGACCACACTAAGGTCACTATATTATCCAACCTAAAAGAAGCATACGATTGAATCAGAACATTTCGCTTCGCTTAAGGGCGTCTCAAGGGAACGCAGTAAAAAGGGGACTCTGCTGTTCTAGCTAAAGAGAGTGAACTTTGGACAAAAGGCAAACGTGCATTGGCAGAAAATTGGGGTGGTGTTTTTCAAAACACGATGCGGTGCTTCGAGGACAAAGCATCTAAGCATAGTAAAATACTCAGCTTAGGTCTTGCGACGGGCACCAAAGTACGCGAAACAAGAGTGCGAAGTAACTCGTTCTGTCAGCAAGCATTTCGTCGCACACAATGTTTTCGCTTATCGCGGATGGACGCCACTAATATCAGCTTCACACGTACGCGCACATTTCGGCCGTCGCGTCAGTAGCACAGGAAAACGCCTCTTGAAAGGGCCCGAAATTTTTTGCCACGTCAGTGCACGTCCTAGAAAACTTTTTCTTGGAAGAGTCCGTCCAGCAAGTACCATGGCAGAAAGTGGCAAAGAACACCTGCGTGGGACTGTATTCGCTCAAACCTTTGAGCCGCAAGTCAGACGCCTCGTCCTTAAACCGCAAGTAGGCCGTGTAGGTGACATCCAACGCGGGCAGCAACGGAAACGTTCTCTCGGCATCCCGCACATCAGAACACCACGAGGCGTTCCAGAACGCCCACGTGACTGGAGTTTCTGATGGCTCCATAATGGTGCCTCCGTTAAACAGGTGTGACATCATGTCGACCGCCCTGAAGATTCCTTCGGCGTACACAAAGCCAAGGCCGCCATAGAACATCGCGCTAGGTCCCCTCGCTATAGTAAAAAGGAGGTCTAAGGGCGGCGACCGAGATAGAAAGCACGTTCAGAACGGGATTGTAGCTAGTCAGAGCCCGCCCAACAAGCGCGAATATTTCCGACGCAGCGACGTAGTCCCTGATGGTCATCGGTGCTTCGCTATCTCGGTTCAACATCTGCAGGCGGCTCCACTCCCATTCGGCAAAAAATCCAGAATGGCTCCCATTGTACGGCCTACCAAAGTACTGTTCGAAGCCGCCCGGTCTCCCAAAGTCGTCTTCGGGCCAAATAACAGTGGACATACCTTCCACAACTGAGGCGACTGCCCGTCTTGTCTCGGCGCTCAGTTTGGAATACGCGCGCAGTTTCTCGACTGCAACAGATCTGATTTTGTCCAGCCGGTTGCTGATGGCAAGTCGTGCCTCCGGCGGTAGCATCGCTTTACTGATAGACGCCAGAAGGACGTTGTACGTCGTGTCCACGTGGTCGAAGCAGATGAGCCGCTGAAAGTATCTGCCTTCTGGAATGCTGTTCACAGAGGAACACAGTTTACTGCTCGTGGTGGCACCCACAGCTTGCACAAACCACCAGACCGTGTGAAAAAATATGTCTTCCGCGGTCTTTGAGCTGAATATGTAATCTATGGCCTTAATTAATTTGTCATTCGTAGCCAAAATGATGTCGTTCCCAGTGATATCTAGTGCTCTAGCGCCGTAAACTGATCGAAGCGCTCTCACCCAGTCCTTCGCACTCAAATTTCTCACTAGCTCCGGCATGCGTCCTATCTCAACTAGCCTTGGCTGAGGGAGCCAACTCTCGATAGCCGAGGCCAGCTGGTGAAATATCTGCTGTTGCACGACGCCACTCCTTGTCTTCAAGAAGGCTTCGAAGGACTCCGAGGGAGGTCTGAGCTTAAAGAGTGCGTCCATTAAAAAGCTCGTGTACATGGAATAGCCGTCCTGGTACTGGGATATCATCTCGTGCGTGAAATGCCAGAAAACCGACGGCGTGGACGGACTCAGCATGACGGCCCGATTTCGCTTAAGACGCGTTGAAGTCGCCACCGGAAGTAAGTGAACGCGGAACCACAGAGGTAGCGCCCATACTACAGACAGCTCCAGAACAACCTCCAGGGCTCGGCCGTGGTCGACGATTTCTTCAGATTTGCCTGGCGAGGGCCACGCGAAACTTCGTTTGCTTACGAAGGCCGTGAGCATTCTAACGACGTCTTCTTCGTTGGTGGTTCCCGACACGCAATGATGCATCATGGTAAGCGGCCTGTTGATCACAGCCTGCCGGTCGTATTCGCCGAAGCTCAACTTATTGACGGTCGCGATCCAATGAAGAATGGCTTGCTCCGTCACCGAGCCGTTGACGTACCGATAGTCGTTTCAGCCACCCAGAGCACACAAAACAACCGAAGCATTGGCAAGACGATGCACTGCGACCATGGTCGATGTTAAGCGCCCGGGCGTGCTCAAAACAGTCTTGCGTGCCACACAATCCAACCACTCGGCTGTCTACCTTGTGGCCCTGGTACAGAGCGAATAGCACCAGTGTCAGAATGACCGTTAGGAGTGCTGCTCCTCCTACGAATGCTATTCTTCGTAACCACTGGTCCAGTGACCCTCAGTTTCTCCTTGTTGGGAGACAGCTGCAGCAGGTCTTCGAGCCGTTGGTTCTAGGGAAGAAAAGATAGTCGAAGTCTTAGGTTGATTAAGGCGATGGCTTGTGCACAGAATGTTGGAACCCATCAATCTGTTCTAACAGGGGCGTAGCCAGACATTCGTTCGGGAGGGGGATGTCAACCATGCTCCATGTATGTTTCTGCGTGCGTTTGTATGCATGCGTGGACATATACGCAAGCGAAATTGAAGCATTTTGGCGGAAAAAGGTTGAACCGCCTACCTTCCCCTTGGCTACGCCACTGCTGCTCATAGTCTGATATCCCAGTGACAAAGGATAGCGCCATTCTGAAAAAGTGCACTTGCACTCCCAGAATGTCACTTCGGTGGCGAGCTGCTACATGAGAATGGGAAGTGTACTTTGCAAATTACGGTAATGATGATGAGTAACTAAGCAGCAAATCAGATCTTTGTTATTTCAGGCAATTTTTCTCGCGTAATAGTGTATTATAGCTGTAAGTAACCCTTAAAAGATGCTTCAGGGGCAACAGCACCGCATCACGCCATTGCGCAGCTTGTGCCGGGCATTCCCCTCGTGGCCGTCGCTGTAAACCGCCTGGGATCGAGTATAGCTAAGTTTACGCTGTTAGTTATTTGATATTTTAATAAGTTTTATTGCCTCACACGTTCCTAATAACGAAAACGATAGCTGAAAAATCACTATGTATGCACCTTCCGGCGATCATTTATTTTCGATCCACTGCTACCCGGGCTATACACTCCACCGATGCTGCAAGTGCTATTTTCAGGGAGTGTCATAGTTAACCCCTCCCAAGTTACTACGTACGAACTATACTACTGGTGGAGCGCACTACCTTAAAGGGCACCCAAGTCGTTCCGTGTCACAAAGGTGTATACAAACACCAGCGTAACTAAAAGAAAAAGCAACTTCAGAAAAGATTTCCAGTTTCTAAAGATACTTCTTTAGGGCCCATCGGGGCTTACATTCACGAGATACACTTGACTTTGGCGCAAAATACATTTCTTGAAAAAGAGGGGAGTACTAGGGAAGCAAGTGAAGGGCATATCTACGAAATGTTTGTTGAGTCTGAGAAACGTACATGAAAAAAAAAAGAAATTTCCGCGGATGCGGGAACATCCAACATACGACGTGCAGCGACATGTTCAAGGCAGTGTATTGTCGAGAAAGCGCGTTTCTGTCGAATGCAAAGTTATAGATGTTTCACTGACACAAGCACACTTTTTTATTTTGATAAAAAAATTCTTCCAGCAACTCTCCAGCAGACTGTTTTTTTTTTTGCATTTGCCGAGAATCAGAACTGCAGTCTCAGACGCTGAACCATTATGTGCTCGATTGTTCCAAAACAATGCACAATTTCACCTGCTTCATAGGAACTCCTCGGCTGGTGCACATGCTGACACGTCCTGCTGTGAACCGCGGAGTGGCACGAGCAGATGTGGAACGCGGAGGCTGAACGGAGGCTTGCCTCGCTGGCACCCTTGCGGTACTCGCCGGTTCCTTCGAGGTGGACGGAGCAGCGTCAATCGTCACGGCGACGGCACTGTGGTTGTCGGGAGCTGCACATAGTGGTTCACAATTATGCTCCGATATGTAATCGGGCATACCGAAATGTTTCTTCAGGGGTGCGCTTGTTCCCGCGTGCGTGCGTAAGTGTGCGTGCATGGCGTGCGTGCGTGCGTGCGTGCATGCGTGTGTGTGTGTTTGTGTGTGTGCGTGCGTGTGTGCGCGTGTGTGTGTGTGTGCGTGTGGTGTGTGTGTGTGTGTGTGTGTGGTGTGTGTGTGTGTTGTGTGTGTGTGTGTGTGTGTGTGTGTGTGTGTGTGGTGTGTGTGTGTGTGTGTGTGTGTGTGTGTGTGTGTGTGTGTGTGTGTGTGTGTGTGTGTTGTGTGTGTGTGTGTGTTGTGTGTGGTGTGCATGCGTGCGTGTCGTGTGTGTGCGTGTGTTTGGGGGGAGGGGGTGAAGGGGCGTGGGTGTGGCAGAAGCACCTCGAAATTCATCATTGCTGAAAGAAGATAACGTTGAGAGGGCTCTCAAGGAGTGCAATGGTTCCTCACTAACAAAAATGCTCACCTATAATCTGAATTCTATAACTAGTTTCACCGAAGCTTTTCGTTTTTGGTTATGTCAATCAACTCCTCTCTCACGCTTGATCTATTACACAACCCAGCTGCCATTTACAACCTCCACCTCTTATTTTCCCCGTAATACATCGATTACGCTACCAACGGCACTCCAGTGACGCTATCTGGAGGATTAGTCTGTTGTCGTCTGCTAGGTCCAGGCTGAAAAAAAAACGGGGGGCACTTCTCGTTTTCCGCGCTCGAGCAGCTCTCCCACGAGAACATCGTCAAGAGCCTAAACAGACACTTGGTGCACCGGACTAGCGAGGTGTTTGTGTGGGAAATCGTCGAAAAAGAAAAAGCAGCGAAAGGAACTGTCGAAGTACTTATGCCAGTTGAAACGGACGCAACGAAAGCTCACAAAGCGTCGTGGTCTCCCGACGCCAGGCATCATAAATTATGTTTTACATGGCACAGAGTAGCAATATTCAGGCTTCGAAATCACTCGCTGCGAAAAAATCACAGCATATCCACGGAGTCAATGATGACGAGTGGGCGAAGCTCCAGAGATACAACGGTAAACCGTGAATCCTCCGTAAATCTTGTCCAGTCGATCATCATGCAAAGACGGTGAGCACGCGCTCCAGCCGTTTTCGGAGCCCTCCACTCCACCACCTTGTCTTCGTCGCTCATACTTGAAGCACACAGACTGCCAACGAAAGAGAAAGTGCGCCAAGAGCGAACGCATTTTAACGCAAGAGCCAGCGCGGTCTCCTATCACAAGAGATCACGCATCGGAGTGGAGAGAGTGCCACAGCACCATCTATGGAGCAAGCTGAGTACTAGCAGCGGTAGCACCACAACACCATCTAATGAGCGCTGTAAGTACTAGTGGTGGCTCCTACAACGCGGGACTTGCCTACGCCTTATGAGGCTTCGGCCCTAATAAAGGGTAGTTCTCTGTAAGTTGTCTTGAAAAGCCAGTTGGTACATAATTACTGAGGGTGATCACTCACACCGCAGTGGTCTGCGGCGAGCCACCAACATGTCGGAAATTTTGGCTATGATCGCATCGACGGAACGAGTTTTTGATCGGGATCCATCGAAATAGAGCCAGGTCCACCAAGCCGTCAGAATTGCGTCGACATGTTTGTTTAGGTAATGGTCAACTTTTCATGTTTGTTTAGGTAATTGCGGATTTGCCTTGTAAATGGATTCACCTTGTAAAGTGTTCTCAAATGACGAAACACGCGTAGAAACGTTCATGGAAATTCA